TTTTGCGGCGCTCGTTTGCTATGTCGGGCATGCCGGCCCGCGGTATCTGTCACATATGCGCACGCATGCCACGTGCGCACCTTGTAGATTTGACAATCGCCATGTTGAAAATAGAGATGTTGAGTTTGTATTGAGTTGTAGTAATTCGTCTGACTTAAATCCGTGAAACACAACAGCTATTGTCTATAATGTTTTGTTGTCTTTGTTTTATGTCACTCGTGAGCTTCACAAGTTTTTACACCGAGGATGAGCCTGTAAAACACTGAGAGTCTCTTGAGAAACATAACTTACTTTTTCCCTATGGGGGCAGTAATAATGTTATCCCTCCAAACTCAAAAGCAGAACAAATTATACAAGTTAAGGGTGTCACCTTGCAACTTCATTTACCACACAAATTTGCAGGTTTCAGCCTGCAAAACCTGATTACATGCAAGTCAAAAGTTGCAGTGTTTGATTTTCTGGGTAGTTAATGAATCTAGATCCCCCTTGGGAGATGGACAGTTTTGACCCTTGACACATGACACATTCTCCACCAATGAGGGAACGTATTTGAGTTGGGAGGCGTAACAAAATAACCCTTTGCTAACTCTATTTGAAACTGAAATTAATTATAAATCAATTTTTAACAAATCTGTTAGAAATATGTCTTCTCTCGTAAATTTCGTGTAAAAATACTATGTATTTCGGTCTAAGAAAATTCAATTACGTAACTAGCAGACGCTGGTTTATCAAGCAAATATCTAAATTATTTTACTTAAGTAAATAGCTAATATCTGAGCGATGAACGAGATAATTGTTTACTACTTCTCGTGAATGTATCGTATTTGCTAGAAATCACCCAAAATAGATCAACAACTTTTTTGATCCTCAAGCCAGAAGTTTATGTCAACAATTTAATCGATCAAATCTCATAGTCTTAAAGTTTGTTGTCAAATTCCATCCGGTTCAATTCCAAATCGAAAACGAAACGATTCTACAAGCACTTTTGCGCGTTATTTTAATAACCGTGCTAGCTTTTTTCCTCAACCTGAATGTATAAAAATCAAAGCTTGTACACAAAGAGAGGTAAATAAATATTAGAACAAAGCTATGTTCCATGGATCCACGAGTATGTTGAGATTTCACTATTTTGGCGGAAGTAAGGGGTCATGCATGAATCTGAAATCACGTGTAAAAACACTGGCACTCACGAAGATACAGGAACGAAAATTCTCACCTCAAGTGAATGAGGAACACCAGCTGTAAGAACAGCGCTAAGAACAGAATGTGATTCCTAGCCATCGCTCAGGCTCTTTGGAAAAACAAAACCATCCTCGTGGATCACTAGCAAAATATCTGAGTCATCATCACGCATGATTAATCCTCATTGTGTCTGTCAAGGAGTGCCAAGTTCAAGTTCTCAGAATCGACTGAGTCACCCCGACGAGGTACCACGAGGCACATGAGCCCACGAGCAAAACAATCGAAAAGAGCATGCGTTCCAATGTTCCCCTACCAATGGCGGCTGTCTTCAAAATGTCTTCCAGTCAAGAAGTTCTACAACTTTACCGTCAGATGTTACGAGTTGGGAAAACATTTACCAGTTATAACTTCAGGTGTGTAGCGCTTATCATGCTATCTTGTAAAAAGGAAGATTTTACCCGATAATTTGCCACTGCTATTTTTTATCTCTAAAAATTAATCATCTCTCCCCAAGACGATGTTGCTAAAATCTACTGTTCATCAAATAAGCTCGATCTTAGTAAGAGAATCTGTCCATTATGTATCTTAAGCGCAGCTTTTTAAGGGTGGACACTGGTTTAGATTCTCCCTTTATTTCCTATCCCTTTAGAAAGTCACAGCGATTACGTAATAACTAAACCTCACCCATTACATCCACGTGGTTCATATTTTAAGGGAATAGCTTAATTAGCGCCAGGCCTCCCTGCTGACCTTGGCTAGCTGTTGACTGACATTTGGTTGTTATAAGTCACTGTACTTTGTCTATTTAACCACCTCCCGGTTAGCTCAATTGATAGAGCACTGGACTGATGTGTGGGAGGTCGAGGGTTCAAGCCCCAGCCAGACCAACACTCAAGGTCTTAAAATAATTGAGAAGAATATGCTGCCTTTCTATAACATCAAGAAATGGTTTAGATATTGTAGTCTTCTCGGATAGGGACGAGTAAATGGAGGTCCCATCTCCTGCAGTGTTAGGGGTAGGAGACGTTAATTTCCCACACACGAGATTACTGTGTGATGGATGTCCTCCCCTGGGGTGGGATGGGTGGGTGTTGTCTTGTGATTATATGAGCCCCTGGCTTGGGCAAT